GGTGCTCAAGACCATGTCAAACAACCTATTGTGTTTGAAATAATATGTGTGTTGAATTGACAAATGTTGAATTTGAACTGACAATGTTGAATGATATTTGAGCTTCCTAGTGTCACATTTGCTCTCACTATTTTGATGTTTGAAGTTTCTATGTTGAATTTCATTTGACTATGTTAAATACATTTTGCTATGCTTCTTTTGAACACTCTATTTTGATATTTGATCGGGAAAAGGTGTAGGCCTACGGTACAAATAATAATAATAATAATAATAATAGGCTAATAATGATAATAATAATAATAACAACAGTGTGAGCAAACGTATTTCGCAAAGCCAGTCTTTTTTTTTGTTTTGCAAATGACTCTTATTTTTGAACTTGGAAATCGAGACGAAATGTTCGTTTCTTCAGAAGAAGAATAGGAATAGCACAGTTTGTTAGTTTCGCTCTTAATGTTTTTCACACAAGTAGGGTAACTCTGATTGCAAAGTCCGCACTTTTTCGAAGAGAGGGCGCCACCGAATTTGAGGACACTTCTTCAATTGGCTCAAAGAGAGCAGTGAACTATCTTGTTCAAACTTGTTGTGTACGATCTTTGATGTAACCAAATGTAACATATCTGGTCCATCTGTATTCGATACTGTAGGCGATTATACTAAGATAAAATGTAACAAAGAAATATAGTAGAATACATGTACTACTAGTCGCTGTTCCCCGGTCGCTGTTCCCCGGTAAAATGACGTCAGTAGTCGCTGTTTCCCCGGCGCAGCACGTCACATCGCATCACATCTCCACTATTACTTATCACATCACCCCTCCCCCCTCCCTCACCTCACCTCACCCCACACCACATCATCACTCCTCCACATTTCACTCCTCATCTCCATGTCACACCACATCACCTCATTTCCATACACGTATTAATTACTCTCTCCTTCACCAATCTCATCACCTCATCTCCACATTACCCTCTCCATCTCTCATCACATCACTTCACTCCATGTCAGGGGGCTCTCGTAGCCTAGAGGTTAAGGTGTTGGACTCTCATTCAAAGGTCCCGGGTTAGAATCCGGGTAGCGACCGAAAAAATGTCTTCTCTAAAACTGTCTCCTTTAATAAACCTCCTTTCCTGCTCTCAAGCAATATTCTGTCGTCTGCTTCCGTCTCCTCGTTCT